TTGGGTCGGCCATGTTGGCCGCTTGTAAGGCAAACGCCCTACCCGCTGTGCTATCGCTCCAGCCCTAAAGTCGTCGGAGCGTGAGCAGTCGGGGAGGGGCGGGAAGGGGCGACCAGGCGGACTAGGGCGTCCCGCCCAGTTCCTCCTCAGCCGCCTGAGAGAGCCGCTCCTCAGAGCCTCCTCCTCCGCAGGCTCGCTCTGGGCACCCTGAGCCTCCGCGGTCTCCGCCTTGTGAGCGGGGGTCGCTCTGTGCCGAGCGGGCGGCGGCCCCTCCCCCGGACGCCCAGCCCCCGCCCAGAGGTTTGTCCCGTTTATTCTGGATTTTATGGAACAGGGGGCTCGGCTGGAGGCGTCTCCCTCGGCAGCTGTGAAGGGGCGCCGAAGAAAAGTGGTTGAGGAAGACGCCTGGGGGCTAGTCTCGCAGGGGTCCCTGGCCTCCCACGCAGCCTCCTCCCCCAGAAAAAGATTTTTTGGTTCACCTGTCAAGTTTTCAGCCTTGCTCTACCCACTGACCCTCTCTCCCAGACCAGTGTCTGTCCAGCTCTCTGAGCTTCGGCTAGGACATTTCCACTCTGCATTTCCAGGGCTGGCTTTGGAGTCACTGCTTTTGCCCCATCTTGATTAATTCGCTGGGAATCGTAAGGTCAGGTGCTCTGAACCAACCTGCCTGATTTACCTTGAATATACCCACATGTGCTTTGCCTGATGAAGTGTGTGAGTGCATCGGTTCAATGATTGACTGACCAGTACAGGATCAGGGGTCTTCTCTTTATCCCCAGCCCCCCACTGTTGAGCAACCACTCCAGCAGCTGCCTCTCCAGTCCTTGATCAGTCCATCCCACTTGCAGCATGGATTCACGTGGGTGGGCAAAAAGCGTCTCTCCGCATCTAGACCGTGGCTAAAGAAAACATGGTGTTGCAAAAACTTTTCAACCACAGCTGGTGAGAAGGATTAAGCGCAGACTAAAACTAGGAAGTGACAGAAATGTGAAATAACACATTCATTCTGAGGAATAACTGAATCCTTTTTGTCTGATCTTGGTCTCATCACTATTTTGTTAAAGGTTACAATAGGTATTTGGTGGAGTTTGTTTCAGTTATGTATTGTTCTTTATGGGCAGTCCAAGGATTGCTTTTCTGACCACCTCTGAGGTCTAACTGCTGAGTTTCAGCAAATTTTTGCTTCACTAAATTCTTCTTGGGCTTTTCAGCTTAGTATAGTGAAAAGAATCTGAAAGAATAACCCCTCTCCCCTCACCCCCCCCCTCACATCCCCACCCTCCCCTCCGCCTTTTTGTTTTTCCCCCAGTGTGGTCTACCCAAGTACATGTGACTGATTTATTGTTCTTTTCTGCCTCCATTTTATCAATCCATACAGTCACTCATTCAACAAGTGTTTATTGTGCCAGGCTGTAGGCGGCCACAGAGATGAACAAGGCACAATCCCTGCCCTCAAGTGCACAGTCGAGTAGGGACACAATGTATCAACAAATGCCAGTGAAGTAACAGATGAGTGGTGTCAGGTGGCACAGAGAACATTTTTAAGCAGCGGTGTGGCCTGTTCCCATCGTTCTCACTTTGTCATTGCTCTTCATCTTCAAGAGCACTTTCATTTCTTTGCATATATGCTTCCAATGGTGTAAAGTGACTTGGTTGAATTAGACTCTCTTGACTGACTTTTCAAATGCTGAGGGTATTAGCAGTTGATAACAATCTAAGGTACCACATCTAGCAGTTTGTCTTGGGATCAAAATTCAGTGACAGCAAGTGAGATTCTAAATATTGAAGCTTGTGAAGACCCTTTACTTGATCACCTGTGTTTGGAGTCAACCAAACTAGTCTTTGGGCCACTTCAGAGAAAGGATGAGAGAAGGGGAAGAGAAAGAGTTAGATGATGGCGATCTTGTGAGCGTGACACAGGAGATGCTCCGTTGTGTATTTGCAACAAAAGACATGATGTCATACGTAAGGAAGGTGTCCTTGCTAAAGTCCTGCATCTCCATTAGTTGTGTATTGCTGATTACCTAAACTTTTGAGTTTGCTAATTAGAAAAAATTTGGTAATTAGAAAATACTCTGAAAGTTTCTCTTGTTTCATTCAAGACAAAGAGGTGAGGTATTGTGGTGAAATCTGTACTGCCTGATAAGTAAATCATGATTGTAGTTCTAAAATATTTATTTTCTCTTGAAGTAATAGTCATTCGCTGTATAAGCAGGCAAAAGAATATTTTGGAATATGAACATCCAGAGTTTTAAAAACTGTACGTGTGTGTGTGTGTGTGTGTGTGTGTTTGTGTGTGTGTGTGTGTAAAAATACTATTTTCCTGGCTCGGGGAGATAGCTCAAAGGACTGGAGTGTGTGCCTGGCATTCAGAGGCTTAGAGTCTGATCCCCAGCACCACATAGGCCCCAAGCACTCCTACTTGTACCCCTGGTGGCCCCCATCGCTGTGTCACCCGAGCAGCACCACATTGCTGGGCTAGAGCCAGAACTTTCTGGCCCTCACAGCTGGGCTGCGTATCCCGAAGAGCGGACCCAGTTTCCCTCGGCATTACTTGGAAGGTCCCCACTCATCCAAATATGGCTTCCAAAAACTCGCTTATACTCTCTTGAACTATTTAGTTTGTAGCCTTTTTCTCTCCGATATACTGTGACATCATGCAGCAACTATATCAGAAGAACCATTCATTTCTATTTAAAAATCTTTTTTGTTTTTTAAAATTCTGCACAAAACAGTCAGGCTACAGAAAACAAGTAATTTTTGTTTTCTCATTTCTGCTAAGGATAACATTTTTTAAGGTGTGTGTACAATGTGTGTGCACTGTCATCCCGTTGTTCATCGATTTGCTCTAGCGGGCCCAGTAACATCTCCATCGTGAGACTTGTTGTTACTGTTTTTGGCATATTGAATACGGCACGGGTAGCTTGCCAGGCTTTCCCATGATTCTTTTATATAACCAGTATTAATATTCAATGATAAGTAATACTTGTAGCTGCTATAAAATATTATATAGATTTATATCAGTTTTCCACTAATACTTAAATAGAAGGCAAGAATAAAAATCAATTTATAATATGAACAAAATTTTGTGGAAGAGAAATGTATATATATATCCTAGATTATGACCCTCAGTACTACTCACCATTCAGACTGGAGAATTTTTTTTTAGTTTTTGCTTTTTGGGTCACACCTGGCCATACTCGGGTTACTCCTGACTCTGTGCTCAGGAATTACCTCTGGCAGTGCTCAGAGGACCATATGGTATGCCTGGGATTGAACTCGGGTCTGCTGCATGCAAGGGAAATGCCCTACCCACTGTAGTTTCTCTCTAGCCCCAAGACTAGAGAATTCCTTGCTGTGGTTCTTTTCTGTGTGTTGCAAGGTGTTAAACAGCATGTCTGGCCGCTACTCCTTACATGGCAATAGACCCCTCCTCTAAGCGTGGCAGAAATGTTTCCAGACAGTGTCAGTGGTCTCTGGCAGAACTAAATAGCTCCTGGCTGAAAGTTGCAGTTTATAGATTGTTTATAATATATAAGCTCCTAGAATCCTTTCAGTTCTTTCATTGTAAAAAATAGGAAAAAAAGTATTCTTACATTTTCAAGTACATGTATGAATCTTATTATCTAGTTCTTACTCTAGAGAACCTGGCAGGGTACCAAAAGTATCCTGCCCACACGGCAGAGTCTGGCAAACTCCCCGTGCTATATTCCATATGCCAAAAACCAGTAAAAATGATGGGTCTCATTCTCCTGACCCTGAAAGAGCCTCGAATGTGGCACTTTGTAAAATCTCAGGGCTAGGATGAAAGAGACGTTACTGGGGCCTTCTCGAGGTAATCGATGAACAACAGGATGACAGTCATACAGTGATGTATGAATATTGTTGAATAAATTTATAGAAGTGCAGTTGCTGAATCAACTTTTGATGAGAATTGCCAAAGTATCTTACTGATATATTTTCAACTATATTCTGTTGACTGCAAATCATATCTCTTTCCTGCGTTTTGGATCCATTTGTCCAGCTGTTGCGTTTCCCAGAGGCCTCTCCTAAGTTTAGTAGTCAACATCTTACTATATCCTTGCTGTATTATACTGCTACAAAATAGACTTGCTTTTGCCTGCCTGCTGCATTCAGAACCTTTTCCACCCTACTGTGTTTGTATGTGCATGTGTGTGTGCAACCTCTCCTGGTAAGGATCAGACCTTGACTTTTTCCTCTTAACTAGACTTTTGATTTTTAGAGAAAAAATTATGTTTATTGTAGTTTAGGTAACATGGTTATAAATGTTAGTGATTCTAGTCTTGATATACAGAACTACTGTGCCTTCATGACCACCAAAGTCACTACCTTCAGTCACTTCTTTTTTTTTTCTAATTTTTTATTTTGTAACAAATCACCGTGAGTTTGTTGGAAGTGAGTCTTCACTTCTGTCGCTTCTCCTCCACCTCTTCTCTCCCTCCACCGCTAGTAATCCAAGGCTCAGTGTTTGTCATTGTTCAGTACAGTACAGTCTCCTGTTTTGATTCTTGATACCACAGATCAGTGAGATATTTGCCCTTTTCCCTCTGACTTACTTAGAAGTTTGATTTTAGACAGTTCTGGATAACAGTACAATTGAATCCCTCCCAAGTCAGTTACGTTAATTTGGTCAGACTGAAACTTTGGAGATATCATTTGGCTGCCAGCTTTTGCAGCATTCTGTCTCGGTGTGTCTTAAATAGCAAGAAAGCGAGGGGTGCCTAGGAACCAGGGCATGTGACATGGTGTGCAACATATTGCTAGGTTGGTGCAGGGATAGATCCTATAGTTTGCCACAAAAAGTCAGTTTCTGGCTCGTGGGAAGTCCACACATAGCAGAATCCTTGGCAAAAAGCTATACTTTTTCCTTCCTCTGTATGTAGTAACTCTTTAACACTCTGTAATTAATTTTATTTTCACAGTGAGCAACCATGGAGTAAGAATAATGCCTAATCTATTTTTGTTTCTTGCTATTTTAGGGGATATCACACAGAAGGGATATGAAAAGAAAAAGTCAAAACTCCTGTCTCCTTACATCCCACAGACGCAAGGTAGGCAATGGGAACTGATTCAAACCCTGTCAATATTTTTATACAAAGAGATGCTACCTTTTGTTGGTTCTTGTTTTACCCCATCCTTCTTCGCCAGAAAGGGGGGTGAACACCAAAAAACGGAAGGAAAGGAAGGAGGAAATGAATCTTTCTTGAGCATGTGTTGTGTGCTAGGCACTTTAAAATAACTAAGGTCATCAGATCTCTTGCATAGGGTTTTGGGGGTAGTGCATCTGTGCAGAACTGGCATGATTCAGTGGCAAATTGCTCTTTTGCTGGGAATTGAAACCAAGGTCTTAAACAGAGGAGGTGTGACCTTCACTGCTGAGCCACATTTTGTTCCCCAGTGTTTTATTTATACCTGACCAGGAACTGCTGGGAAGAGGAGTCAGCAGAGTAAACACAAGAAAGGCCAGAGTTCTTGTTGCTGTAGGACTGGGATACCTGAGAATTTTGTGGTAAAACCCGTAAATAAATGTTTAAATGGATTCACAGACTTGCTCATTCTCTAGAGAGAAGTATGTTCTATTTGTATTATTTGTGGGTAGGTGGGGCTTGGCTAACATGACAGTGCTCAGGGCTTACTCCTAGCTCTGCACTCAGAGGTCACTCCTGGAGGTGTTCAGGGAACCACATGGGGGTAATCATGCCAGAAATACAACCTGGGACAGCTGTATGCAAGCAAGCATCTTACCCAAAGCACTATCTCATATATATATTATATATATATAATTTATTTATTTATTTATTTGCTTTTTGGGTCACACCTGGCTAGGCACAGGGGTTACTCCTGGCTCACACACTCAGGAATTACTCCTGGTGGTGCTCAGGGGACCCTATGGGATGCTGGGAATCAAACCCGGGTTGGCCGAGTGCAAGGCAAATGCCCTACCTGTTGTGCTATTGCTCCAGCCCCTATTTCTTTTAATTTTAGGAAATCCCAAGTCACAAGTTTGTGCATAATTATAAACAGGTGACTTTAGTTTCTAGTGTTTGCCTCAAGGCAAACCTGTCTTTTTAAAGTCATGGGTAGGAAATGTTCATCCCGCAGACCATAAAAGACTTAAGGAATTTTGTGATCTGGGTTCAAGAGCTAGTACAGTGTGTAGGGGACTTGCCTTGCACATGGCTAACCTGGGTTTGATCCATCGCATCCCATATGGTCCTTCAAGCACTGCTCTGAGTGCAGAGCCAGGAGTAACCTTAGAACATCTCTGTGTGTGGCCAAAAACCAAAAAGAAAGAAAGAGAAGAAGAAGGGGAGGGAAGGAAAGAGGAAGGGAGGAATTCTGTGATTTGGAAGGGGAAGAAGGAGAAATTTTGATCTGGTGCGTGGTCCATTCCAGGATAGACACATAAATGTTTTTTGTTGAAGGTCCATCTCCTGTAACTGTTGAATGATGTACTAAACATCCAAATGGCCTTTCAGAAAAAAAGGTTTCCTGCACTTGCTTTAACTTATATATCTAGATTGTGCTGAAGAGACAGCTCAAAGGACTCGAGCGTATGTCTTATATGTGGAAACCCCAGGTTCACTCCCTGGTATTCTGTGATCCCCTGATCATGGTTGGGATATATATAAATACAAATTCCAGGGTAACCTGATCACCAAAATTTCTTTTGAATAGCCTGTTTCTGCTTCATTACTATTTTTTGCTTGGGGTACCACACCTGGAGGTGCTCAGGGATCACTCCTTGCTCTGTGTTCAAGGCTTACCCCTTACTCAGGGGACCATATAGGGTGTTAGGGATCAAACCTGGATTAGTTGTGTGTGGCAAATGCCCTGCCAGCTGTACTGTCTCTCTGGCCCTGCTTCAATCTTAACTGTAAGGAATTTTTTCTGTATTTTTGATTTTTCACCTTGATCAGTTTATATCCACAGGAGTAACAGAGTGAACTAATTTTCTTAGGGATTATAGATACAGTGAGAACTTTGTATCTCTTTCTCGCCCCTCCCCCACAATTCTAATATCAAGCCTCGCATGAAGTAGTCTTTACATATTTGTTGAATGAATAACAGTATGTCAATATAGTTCACTAATGTCTTTGCTTTATTTATTTATTTATTCGTGATGTTATTCTTGAAAATACCTCCCTACAAAAATGAACAGGTCAATACCCTGACAGTCAGTTGAAAATATCCTAATGAACAGATGGATGCAGAAATGAATTGAAAGGGAAGAGGTAGAAATTGGGCCAGTGACAATTAATGGAATGCCAGCTTTTGCTGAACAAGGCACAACAGAGTTTGCAAGTGCTTTGATTGACTGGTTAAATATGGATCCAGCCTGTGATGCTGAAGGTCAAGAGATTCACTTTATTCACTGTATGCAAAAGCATTCAGCTCCTGAGAGAGTAACTGAGTAAGAAATGTAACTGTAAAAGAATCACGAAGTAGGAGAGCATGGCATGGGATTAAGGTGTCTGTCTTGTGTGCAGCCAACCCTAGTGTGGTCCCCAGTACCACGTTTTCCCTGATTATTGTTAGTAACAGCCCTGAAGGTTCCTGAGCGCCACCCACGTAGTATAGGTAAACCCTGGCATAGCACTGCAGGGCCTGAACAGCACCGCTTCCCGGGCCCGGGCCCTGGTATTGAACTGTGGACCTGGATGGCTGAGATCCTCTGGACAGGGCCTTAGGGTTTCCTGAGCATGGCTTGGGAGGCCCTTCCCACATTCCCCCACCCCTAGAAGAGAAAGAAAAAGAAAAAAGAACCATATTAACTGTAGTAGTCAGGCTGTATAGAAACCAGATCATGTTCAGGAAACCATTCTGTCCACTTACAGTGAGAAACCGTAGAGATATACTCACATCCCTATGGCCAGCACATTCTTATCCTGTGGGGAACCAGATTACAGAATACTCACTGACTAGGATTTAGTGGAAAGATATTGAAGGCAGCATGAGGGCCATCTCCCAGTGAGGATTGTCTTCAGATGTCCTTGTGGAGGAGAAGGAAGCAGTTGATGGTTTTGTCTTCAAGGAGCAGTTTTCTGCTTCTTGTCTTCAGACTTGTCACATCCATGCCCATATTTACTACTTTTCTTCTGGTGGTCTATCACTCCTGTTCAAGGTCACCCCTTGTTCTTTGGATCTCATCCTCTCTCCTTTCTCTTGAACCTTATACTATCTACTCAGAGGCACCAATGACGGAGTAATATTGTTAGCAATAAAACTGTCTTCCTGCTGAAACAATTATATTGCTCCGTGGGTATGCCATTGCTGGCCTCTTCTTTGTCTCTTGTGATTCACTCTGCTTCTCAATCGCTTTCTTCTTCTTAGATGTTCGTGATGTTCATTATTGTTCATGGAAAACAAAATCTTGTGCTGGGAGATAACTTAATGGGCAGAGCATCTGCTTTGCGTGTGGGAGGCCCAAGTTTGATCCCTGGTACCACAATGTTCCTCAGGCACCTCTATCAGCAGACACTGGATGTGGCCCCAAACCAAACCAAGACACCAAAATCCTGGGCTCAGGGAGAAGACTCATAGGACTGGATGTATGTTTTGCATATAGGAGTCCTGGGTTCAGTCCCTCAGCACTGCTGAGTTTACTTCCTGTCTTCCTCCTTCACTTCATCTCTACCTGCATCTACCCATGTAGGGTCTGTCAGAACTGTCTGTATTTAGTATATCTGTCTTTTTCAACTCCTGCTCATTCCTTAGTGCACTCCAGTCCATTCTGTTTGTTTTAGGCTTTTTTTTTTCTGCTTTTGGGTCACACCCAGTGGTGTTCAGGGCTTATTCCTGGCTCTGAGCTCAGTATCATGCCCAGCAGGCTTGAAGGACCAAATAGGGTGCCTGGGATTAAACCTGAGTAGGCTGCATCCAAGGCAAATGCCTTACTCTACTCTCTCGCTGGCCCCGTTCCATTCCTTTCTGGATCATCATAAAGAAATCTCAGTAGTCCTCTTCCTGCTCATTAACTTGAAATTGTCATGGTAAGGTCCACTTCTGTCTTGCCATTACATTGTGTATTAGAGGTTGCAACTTTTAGCATGCCTTAGAATTGCAGGGGAGCTCATTTGCAAGATGCCCTCTTTAGGATTTCTGATTCAATAGCTCTAGCCTGGGGCCTGGAAATGTATACCAGATGATGTTGATGTTGTTGGCCCAGACTGCACTCTCAAAGTGCTTTAATTCCATAGAGCATTTTAACTATATCTGTGACTTTAATTATCATTTACGTACAGGTGACTTCAAAATGCGTATCTTCTTTTTTAACACTTCTTTATTGATTGAAATTCTGTGATTTACAGCACTGTTGATCTGTTGGTGATGGCTTCCTGTGCACATAATTCTAATGCCATATCTCTCACCACTGTACCCATTTCCCTCCCACCAAGATCCCAAGATCCCTTTCTTTCAAACCCACCCCCAACTCAGTTGTGTGGATCAGTTCTCCCATTGTGTTTTCTATGGCCCTCTGCTGCTCCCTTGAAACATCTTTAAGTCCCACATATGAGCAAAACCTTTATGTATCTATCCCTAACTGACTTCCTCGTTCTATCCATGTTAGGGGAAATTGCATCGATTTTGTTTTTTCTTTGCGTTGCATAGTATTCATTGTATATATATACCACTCTTTTTAGGTGGGACAGGCAGAGGTGGGGCTACACTCAGCAGTGCTCTGGGCTTACTCCTGGCTTTATATTCAGGGATCACTCCTGGCAGGGCTTAGGGAGCAATATGGGTTGCTAGGGATTGAAACCGGGTTGACTGTATGCAAGACAAGTGCCCTGCCCTCTGTACTATCTCTCTGGCCCCAGTATTCCACAATTTCTTGATTCATTTATCTACAGTTGAGCATTTAAATTGTTTCTATATCTTGACTTTTGTGCTATGCACTGCAGGAAATACAAGTGTATATATATATATATATATATATATATATATATATATATCCTTTTGAATTAATGTTTTGTAATTGGGGGTATAGATTCCAAAAGTGTTTCACTGGATTGTATGAGAGTTCTCTTTCTACAGAATATGTATCTGC